GAGTCCCACAGCGCCCCACAGCGCCCCATAGAGCCCCACAGCGCCCCCACAGCACCCTACAGCGCCCCATAGCGCCCCATAGCGCCCCATAGCGCCCTACAGCTCCCCATAGAGCCCCATAGAGCCCCACAGCACCCTACAGAACCCCATAGCGCCCCATAGAGCCCCACTGCTCCCCATAGAGCCCCATAGAGCCCCACAGCGCCCTACAGCTCCCCATAGAGCCCCATAGAGCCCCACAGCACCCCATAGCGCCCCATACCGCCCTACATCGTCCCATAGTGCCCTATAGCGCCCCCACAGCGCCCTACAGAGCCCCATAGCGCCCCATAGAGCTCCATACCGCCCCATACCACCTTACATCGTCCCGTAGTGCCCTATAGCACCCCTATAGCGCCCCACAGCACCCCACAGCATCCCATACTGCCCCATACTGCCCTACATTGTCCCATAGCACCCTATAGCGCCCCCACAGTGCCCCATAGAGCCCCATAGCACCCTATGGCGTCTCATAGTGCCTCACAGTGCCCCATAGCACCCCATAGCGCCCCATAGCGCCCCATTGCATCCCACAGTGCCCCATAGTGCCCCATAGCGCCCCATAGTGCCTCATAGCCCCCCATAGCGCTCCATAGCACCCCATAAAACCCATAGAGCCCCATAGTGCCCCATGGCACTCCATAGCACCCCATAGCGCCCCAAATCCCATAGTGCCTCACAGTGCCCCATAGCATCCCACAACACCCCGCACCCCACAGCACCCCACAACCCCACACCCCACAACTCCCCCACCTCGGGGCTCTTCCTCTTCAGGCTGCACTCCCTCTTTCTCTCCTCCGTGGGTCCCCACGGCACCTATGGGGGCAAAGAAGGGGGGCAGTGGGGTGGGCGGGTCTGTGGGGCCTGTGGGGTCCATGGGGTCAGTGGGGTTGGGGGTTTAGTGGGGTCAGTGGGGTCAGGGCTCTGTGGGGTCAGGGGTTCCGTAGGGTCAGGGCTCAATGGGATCAGTGGGATTGGGGGTTTATTGGGGTCAGTGGGGTCAGGGTTTCAGTGGGGTCAGGGCTCAATGGGATCAATGGGGGTTGGGGGCACAGTGGGGTCAGGACTCAATGGGGTCATTGGGGTCAGGGGCTCAATGGGGTCAGTGGGGTGGGGGCTCAATGGGGCCATTGGGACGGTGGGATTTATGGGGTCAGAGCTGAGTGGGGTCACTGGGGTCAGGGCTCAATGGGGCCATTGGGGCGGTGGGTTTTATGGGGTCGGAGCTCAATGGGGCCATTGGGGCGGTGGGTTTTATGGGGTCGCGGCTCAATGGGGCCATTGGGGCGGTGGGTTTTATGGGGTCG